GCTAACGATGTCAAAATATATTGTATATTTTTCACTTCAATGCCAATTGGAAGTGACTGCTCGAAAGTTTTGGCCTGTTAAGATGAAGATATATCAATCAAAATCGTTTTGTAGTATACCAAGCGGATAATTGATACTTACAATAATCAAATCGCGTCCTAGCGTATCCTGCGTGCGCACAACACCATCAGTAGAAACCTTGACTATGCCGCTGCTATCGCTATCCAATTTATAGGCAACATCATCCAAGTTAGCTTTCAGCTGTATAGTGCTACGGGGCGCGACTAAAATCCAATCCATCGTGATGTGCTTGGGCGACTCAAGTTCCAAAATTTTGAATACTATAAGGGAAATTGTTTCAGTATTAGTTTGAGGTTAGGTTAGTTACAATTGTTAATTTTCTTTGCACTACTTATGTATATATGTATGTACTTACCAACAACTTCGACAGAGTTTGTTATTTTTTGACCGGTTGATAGTTCTACAGTGGCTTGAATTTTAACCTTGCCGGGATTTAAAGCCTTTATACGCACAGATGTGAGATCTAGACTGTCATATTCAACACCTGTAAGCAGAGTTCAAAAGCAATTTCGGATTATTCATGTGTTTATCAAGCCTTTTTCTACTATTACATATAACTAATAATAATTTTGTCAGTTCCGTATCTGTGCTTGAACGCTTACTTTATCGTTCAAGCTCATCAGAAAACATCAATGATTTTCTACGAATATTTTGTGAACATAATTTGCTAGTCTCAAATAATATGCCGTATCGGAATATTCGCTCCATTTTTGTTAAATGCGTTCCTTAGACAAATAAAGGATTAGCATTTCCTTTTAAGATAAGACATATTTGTTTCCTATAATGCTACTCAGCTATTCTACCGGTAAATACACATTCTCAATGAGTATTCGCTTACCAGAATCCGCAAATACATTGTAAATGTCTACCACATCCTGTTGATTTGTTGTCCAAGTCACACGCATGTTCTCCAACGTGCCCAACACCATGGGTGAGAGATCAGGCACACCTGCAATTATTAACATTTACATTTGTACCACTTATCTTCCATACAGGATAAATACAAAGGTAGCAATATCATATCATTTGTACATGCATATGTACATATGTATAGCTACTAACCCCAAACAGCAGCCGGCATTACTGCACCGCTACGTATGCGCACTAAAGGTGTCTTCACTTGTATATTCACAAAAGGTACAACATGCACTTCGACTGTGTCAGCGGATATGACCACTTCTTTGCCATTTCCGGGATTTGT